AGAAAATTCACAAGGAAAATGACGGAATTCTCTGGATGAGGCTGTCATTGCTTGTCTTCTCCGCAATGTCCCTGTGGCTCAATCAGGGTAACGTGGTTGCATTCTCTCTATAACCTCATAAAGACCATTCCTCTCAGTGAAGTCCTGGGTAGCTCTGGTAATACAGACAAGGGCTGGAAGGATCCAGGGCCAAAGGGCCACTGAACGGGATTACTCTGGTAGCAATTGGGAAGGGGTTCCCCACAGTAGCTGAATCTTCCAGATAAGTTGCACACAGTTAGGTTCCAGCTCAGCTACCTTCCCATCGCTTCTGACAGTTGTTGGTCTCTCACAAGACTGCAGATCACTTGACCAGCTACCTCTGCCTTATCAGGTGTTACCTCTCTGATCTGCTGAGGGGGAGAAGCTGTGGAATTTATCTTCCCTGGACATGTCTAGTAACCCAAGGAGTTTTTTTTTTTTTTTTGACAGATATTTATATGGTTCCGACAATTCACAAAGTACTTTACATATATTGTACAGTCACATAAGTCTCTGACCTCAATGAGCTTACAGTCTAATGCAGGCCATAGACGGTTCGTTTATCGGCCGAATGTTTGGCCGAAAAAGGAAACATCGGTCGTTCTGTTCCCACCAATGATTACGAATATCGGCCGTTTTTCGTAAATTTTCCAGCATGACCGATAAAACAAATGAGGAGGAACCGCGAAAATCGTCCGATGACATTGCCCCACTAACGGTGCGAATATCGGCCGATTATTCTTTCAGACGAAAATTCGGCCAATAAACGAACCGTCTGTGGCCTGCATAAGTCACATGCATACAGTTAATAGGGCCAATTTGGTCCAGAGTCGATGAACCTAACAGCATGTTTTTGGTAGAAACTAGATAACCCTTACTGCAAGGCAGAAGTACTAACCACTAAGCAATTGTTATAGGAAACTGAGTTAAAGGGGCCTGCAGCTGTATCCTGAGCATGGTAAATGGGCATTCCCCATCTCAGATAAAAGGTGACTGCTTGAACAACTCACTATCATATGCACTCTACAAATCAATGAAAACCTGGCTCTACATAAAGTACACCTGAGCTCATAGAAGTTTGACGTTGGTGATATCTGCTCAAAATGTTAGTTGCTTAGTTATGTGCTCATCCTCCCATTTTAATGTTTCTTAAATTCCCGATCTTGATTTTCCACATCAGAATGTCTGACTTCTCCAGTGGCTTTTATGTTCTATATCAGTTTTAAAGCAAGAGACAGCCAGACCAGTAGCATTATCAGGAGGAAGTCAGCAAGTGCTATGCTCTGCCAGTACTCTGTTAACTTATAATAACTAATAATAAAATAATAATGAAAGATGGAGTGAATTCTATTAGACTTAAATGTATGCTCCAGAACACTTAGCACTTTGCATACACGTTAGCAACAGAATAACAATTTCTATTCTGCCTCAAACATGGTAATATCCCATTATTACAGTGGATTGTGTACAATAACAGGGTCCCCTCTTCGTTTTACTCTGCATTATTTACATAGAAACACAATAGATTACAGTGAATAATTCAGTGAGCTGGACACCAAATGCATGTGACTTGTGAGAGAGTAAATGTTCAAGTCTCATAGTACAACAGAGGTAGAAATCGTGCAACCACCAAAACAACACTAAGAAGGAAATAATGTATGTTCCCAAACAATTTTCTGACATAGGAAAGAAAGATGTTTATTTCTTCACACCAAAAATATTTCGGAAAAATGATGATATGTCTTTGGATCTTCTTTCTAAACATGATATTGTGAGAAGAAAAATGTAGACAAGCCATCAGAATCTCAAGGGTAAAAAATACATTTGTTAGATTTAGCATTAACCCGTGTAGCACTCTCCTAGTGGTTAGACAAATTTAGTTGGCTCCTCTGTAGCCAGATGATCAGGGTTTAACCACTTGCCCTCTAGAGGATTTAACTCCCCTTCCTGACCAGGCCATTTTTTGCGTTGTGGCGCTGCGTTATTTTAACTGACAATTGCACGGTCATGCAACGCTGCACCCAAATTAAATGTATGTCCTTTTTTCCCACAAACTGAGCTTTCTTTCAGTGGGATTTGATCGCCTGTGCGGTTTTTATTTTTTGTTTTAAAAAAAAAAAAAAAGACCGACAATTTTGAGAAAAAAAAAAACTATATTTTTTCCTTTTTGCTATTAAACATGTCCAGTAAAAATCAAATTTCGTCATAAATTTAGACCAAAATGTATTCTGCTACGTCTTTGCTAAAAAAAAATCCCAATACGTGTAAATTTATTGGTTTATGTGAAAGTTATAATGTTTAGAAATGGCGGTATATATACTGGGTTAACTGTGTGCTGTGTTTATGTGCTTCACTGTAAGCAAACTGCTATGCATGGCTCTGCTATGCAAAGCCATGCATAGCAGTGTGCAGGAGCTGACAGGGGAGAGAACTGTATTGTTTACTTGCAGTTATCTCCCTCAGTAATTAATCACCAGCCGGGACTGTGATTAACAGCTGAGGCAGCGAATAGCGGGGGATGGGTAGGACACGTGTATATATACATGATTTTCAGCACCCGTGCTGCCCTGTAGCAGTATCACTGCTACAGGGTGGACGGGAAGCGGTTAATTTGGTTAGGAAGCTGGGCAGTGTTTCACAGGCTGTGGCTCTCTCACCTCCCCCTGCATTCTGGAACATACAGAACATAGTGAGAGGAGGGACAGAGGCTGCAGTCTGAATGTTTATGAAACTTCTACCAATCCCTAGGGAGGTGGGCCCAGAAAGGGTGGAAGAAACCCATAAATATTCTGAAGCCTGGCAGTCTGTGAGTAGAATTCAGGGTGCAGACGTCAGGAGGGACTCCTGTGTTGGGGCCCTGCCCCTGGGATGAGCCTTAGGAAACTAGTGCAGCCTCACGGACTCAGCTAGGCCTAGCTGATGACCTATTTGAGCCAGAGAATCAGCCTGAACCAGCAGTGGACAGCCATGAGTTCTCAGGTCAGAAAGCTCCATGAGTGGGACTCAGTGAGTACTTAAACTAGCCATCATTTAAAGGAGAAATGACTGTGGAATTCAAGATTTCACAAGTCAGGACCAGGTGCAGCCGGGAGTTATGCAGGTTAACCAATAGCACGCCACTTAGTGTGACGGACCTTAGTGCAGCCAGATGCAGGGCAAGACAGCCAGGTTCTGTGCTACTATTATTTTTGTTACTACTACTACTGTAGGTGAACTATAGGATTTCTGCAGCCTAAAGCTGTGCATTTCAGCTCGCATCCTGTACAGAGCAGCCAGAGACTTCGCAGCCCTGAGTTTTCTTGTATAAAGTTTTACAGTTTCTTAAGTTTGGGGTATACCATGCACCCTGATTCCCCATCCAAGTTCATTGTTCCTAAAATAAACACAAAACCAAAACCCCTAGTCTGTTTGAGCCATTTAAGAGAGTGTTGAAAATTCGTTTTGCCAGGCTGTGTGTGCTGTGTGGGGGGGGAATTGGCCCGATTTCCAGCAGTGCCTTCAGTGATAGCACTACACATGTATGCAGTATATCTCTGCAATATGTAAATCTCTGCATGTTTTTTCTCTTTAAAATTCCACAAGTATAGAAAAATACCTGTTGACAGAAATCCATTGAGCTCCTAACATCCTCTAGTGAGCTCACAATTTGGCTTTTGATGTTTTGTTTTGTTTTTTTTCTATAGCTAGTAAACTCCCCAGCATGTTATCCTATGTGTCCATGCACACATAGACTGTAATCAACGTTTTTTTTTGGCAGGGGTGTTTTTTGGCTGGAAAAAAACACCAGAGCTAGTGGGTTTCTAGAGGAGTTTTTTAGCTGTAAAAACGTTATAAACGCTGAAAACGCTTCAAAACGCAGTAAATCATGGCAAACCAGAGTTTTTGGACTTTTTTTTACCAAAAAAAAATTTTTTTCACCAAAAAAATTATTTGTTTTGGTCAAAAAAACCCTCTAAAAAACGCAAACATGAAAAAATGCATAAACACGTGTCAAAATGCTAATACAAAAATGCTGAAAAACTCACATTTTTAATGTGACTTTACATAGCTACCGTTACCAGTGTGCATGAAGCCTAAATGGGAAAATCAGATCTCAATAATTTGAAAAGAGTAGTAATCCTAAAATTCTAAAACACCTTTTGGGTGAAAGTGTCATTTAGATTGTTCATGAAGAGAAAGTACGGCATAGTCCAAACTGCTGGGGGGGGATGTGTGCCAAAATCTGTATGGTTGTGCTGGATGGACAGCTTGGTTTCAGTCACTTGGTGAGCAGTGATATGGACGATTTTAAGTGGGAGTCCTCTAAGAGTATTCCCCAATGTTGACGAAAAATCTGTTCCATCTTCTTATGTTGAGTATGGAACTGGGTTGTGAATCTAAGTGATGTAAGTATAATGTTTTTTATAGCTTTCATAGAAGTCTTATATTGGCCTGATTCTGTCTTTTCTATATTGTATTTTATTATTATATTCAACTGTTGGCTATTTTTACATGTTTTCTTTTTTCCTCTTTTATTTATTGTATATCATGTCCTGAAGAAGGAGCACGCATGGTCCCAACGTGTGCCGCCCACGAGCCTCTTCTCCACCTCCGGTTCCAGTGACATCACTGATCCAAGCGATGGAAACCAAGCTGTCTCAGATTGTCAGTCCATCCAGCATGACCATACAACTTTTGGCATACATCGCCCCCAGCAGTCTGGACCATATGGGTCACAGATGATGGCTTTACAGTGATGTGCAGTCTAACATTCTTCTTTTGTGAGAAGTGGAAGTCTCACTAACGTGTATATTAGTTATTTACCATTTATGCAGCTGATGTGTGATCTACAGTATGTTAGCTGCCATTTTATATACTGTAACACAAGACACACGTTCTTTTGTGGGATTACTGAAAAACAATTCAGCTGGGTATGTGAATTTTTTTCACTTCATTGTACTACCTTCACTAATTTGGTAATCTTTGTGTTTGCTTTGCAGCTAATGACTGGCTCATGTTTATTGTTCCCTGTATTTAAGAGCATTTTGTGTCACATTCATGCTGCAGTGACAGGAGGTTACATCTCTGGGTCTCACTCCCTGGCTTTCATCAATTGTCCAAATGACCAGGTCGCTAAAGATATTGCCAGGTAAAATAACACAGAAAATACTACTAGGCTAAATGCCATACAATAGCTGGGCTGGTAATGAGCCACAAGTTAGATCGAGCTGTCAGCAGTTACATAAGGATGTACAATATGCTACTAGAATACCATTAAAATGATGCTTCATTAACTCACTAATAACTGTGATAGTCTAGAAACATGTGGGGCAGGCGGTTGGTACCTCCTATGTTCTGCTCATCATTGGGTGCCAAGTGTGGGTCCCATACTAGGCCTACCCCAGGGTGGGTTCTTCTGGACTACGCTAGGCACCTGTAACAGGATCACTCCACTTCACACATATGGGGTACCTTTACTCTTGTGCCGTTTTCATCAATGCCCTGGGACAAGGCCAAACCCACCGTAGGGGAATACTCAACCTGGTCCTCTACTCTTAGAGATGAACGTACACCATGTACACTTGCACAACAACTGTTCTCTAGTTAACTCTCTAGTCCAGTCAACTCTCTGTAAATGTACATCTTCCCAGTGTAGCTGCAAACACTGATAACAGCCACCTTGTAGCAGCATGGAACCCCGCCGTGCGCATAGTGCGGGCTCCAACATGCACATGACTTTACCTCTTTGGATCTACGTATTTCTGTACAGGATGGGGACCTCTGCAATACAGTTCCGCTCCCATTGCTAAGGGAAACAGAATGTGTCGTAAGGAGTGCCGACAACATCTCCCTTGTGGCTAGAGGCCATTCCATCTGTAACAGGTACACATTTCCAAAAGGCTGCCCGCTGATTGCACCTCTGTTGCTCAGGGCAACCACATGTAGAATTAGCACTAGGATGACTCTTAGCATGCAAACTCTTCATACTGCAAAATGTTAGAGATCCAGAACTGCAGCAACGTGTCAGTTACTTGCATTACACTCCTTTAAATGACTTCAGACCAGGCAAAAGGCGAAGTTTCAACATTTTACTGAATAAAGTACAAGATGGTACAAAGTCCAGCCAAAGAACATTCCTTTTTCTTTAGTCCCTAGTCTCTAGTCCCTACTCCTAATCAGGCTATGTGCTGCCCCGGCATTCTTACAAAGGTTGGGTTGGAACTAAACATCCCGCCAAACGGAAAGCCTGGGAACTAAAGCCGGCCATACACGGGAGGATTTCCGAACAAATTTTCTTTTCAAAATTGGAAATTTGGTGCATTTTGTAATACAATGGTGCCAGCATTAATGTCGAAATTCAATCAACCAAGCCTTCAATTTCGAAATTCAACAAACCAAGCCTCATGTTGTTACATAAAATAAATTTCATGGCCAGAAATATTTTATTTCCTGGTCTCAGTTCATGATCATATCTTTTTCAATTGTATCTCTTCCAAGATTTCCCCATCACTGATTAGAAATTAATTTGTCAAAAAATTTCCAGCATGCCCAATCACCCAATTAAATGGCTGCACGAAAATCGGCCATTGCGGCAGCCCACTAATGGTGCAAAATGAGTTAACCTTAACCCTCACATTTGAGGCAACAGCTAAGTAGCTAATTCCAACCTGCTTACAAACAAGGCAAGTCCTCCATCAAAGGGTATGTGTTGCTTACAGCAATTTGTAACAGCTGTGAAGCTTATTGGTTCATGATGAGGGTGTGCTGGCGACTTATAGATTAAAATATCCACACAGAGAGGTAAAGGCCTGGATAGTAGTCACATGCAGCTCTATAATTAGGCAAATTAGGCGGTCACCTAAGGCCTTGCACTCACAGGGGCCTCACGGCCATCTAATTTGCCTAACGCAGCCACTGGAAAGTGAAAAGTGATGCGGCACTCCATAGCTGCCAATCAATTTCATGGAGCCAGTAGCGCGGTGCCTCCCACAAGCGACCTTCCCCCCTTCCATGGCTCCTGCAATTTCTGCTCCTAGCAGAGCCCAGGAACACTATCACCGGCTAGGGGAGGGAGAGCGATTTGATACCGAGGCAAATCCGTGCTTTGATCTCACATGCAATTGGAATTGATGTCACTGCCAGCTTTAGATGCACCCTTTCCTGGCCAGTACAGCCAGGAGACACATCTAACCAACCGATCTGTGCTTGGTTAAATGGTGTGAAGGGCAGAGGAGACATTGATTGGGGTCTATTAGACCCCTAATGTATCCATAAAGAGTACCTGTCACCAGCTGCTATCACATAGAGATTTATTAACCCCTTGTAATAGCAATCAAGTAAAAAATTTTAAAAAAATCTAAAAAATTTTTTTTAAAAAATTACCATTATAAGAAAATATATTAAAATATTTTTTTTCTAAATTGCTATAACCCCTGTTGCCCTGCACAGCTGTACAAACGCAAGCCCAGGGTGTGCACACATATGTAAACCGTGGTCACACCACACGTGTGACATATCGCTGTAAACCTCAGAGTGATGACAATAGTTCTAGCACAAGAGCTCCTAGTTATCTCTAAACTGATGAGCTGTAAAGGCTTTTAAAATTTCACCTATAGGGATTTTTGGGCAACAAAGTTTATGGTGGTATCGTGGGCACACGCAATTTTAAGACATGGAATGTTTGGTATCTATTTACTCGATGCAACCTCATCTTTTATATTTAAACCAAAAATGGATTTTCTATTGTGTGTTTATGCACTAAAATTAATTTTATTGCATTTTTTCCTGAAAATGTGCATTTCATAAACAGCCTCTGATAGTAGCTTTATGCACATAATTTGTTGGAGAATAACCAACACAATGTAAATCCACATTTTATAACTAGACCATTGCATTGTAGATCAGGAAAATACATGATGTACAACTATGGCAGTACGATTATTTAATTTGTCTAATTTCCTTAGGGGCATTCTGGAGAAGAAACTGGCAGCCAGTGTGAATATTATGCCAAAGAGCTCATCACTGTAAGTGCATTATGTGCATTCAACCATCAATAATTCACACAGCAATTCTCATGTCACAACCAGCAAGTCCATGGAAAACATTCATCAAGACGTCAGATGTAGCCACTAACTAAGTGGATATTTTATGGCAGAACCCTACTACAGAACACATGTAAACATGTTTTAAAAGAGGAAAGTCTAAAAAGCTAAATTATTAAAGTGGATCTTGCAAGGAGCCCCCATCCATGTAAAAACAAAGAATTAAAGAAAAAAGTTGAAAAATATATAGTAAGCTAACACTTAGTAAGGCACTTGTCTGCCTTAGTGCCTAGGCAAAGATGACATCACTGGGCCTATTCTTGGGAAAGCTCAAGAAAAGAGGCTCCAGAACAGTGCAGGAATGTCTTCTGAGATGCTCAGCTTTATCAGAATCTTTCTGGAAGGCCTATGACTCCACATAATTATTTTCTCTAAATTAACTCAGCGTTTGTTCATGGGGGAAAGGGTCAAGGATAATCAGACCTTGCATTTCCATGTAAGGTCCACATTAAAGTACAAGCAAAGGCTCCTATATAAAAGTCTAAACATGTTTCAAATACATTTATTATGTGATGTACAAGCCCCATAAAGATAACCAACAATTGTATTTACATTCCCAAACTGAGGCAAACCCTCCTTTGTGCCTCCCTTTACAGAAACTGCAGCTCACTCTGGGGAAGGTTTCAGTAACAGAGGAAGTGATGTCAGATCAGAAAGCAGTGGGCAGAACTAGGTGTGGCCAGGTGCTGCTTGACATGCTACAGTGACAATGCTAATAGCCATGCCCCAGCAATATTTTTTAATCTCACTGTAGTTCAAGCAGGCATAGTCTACAGAAGAGTGGTATCTCTGTTCTGAATTCAGGAGCACTGCAGCACTGTTGCCACACCCATCACAGGAAGCTGCATTAGGTTGACTTCACTAGCAGGTTCAACAGGTATTTGTGGGCCTTTGCAGGGAGACTGAAAAAAACTAGCACATATTTTCAATGGGAGGCCATACTTTCTAACAGTGTTGAGGTTACTGTTTTGATGTTACATTTGTCTTAAATGTTTTTTTTATCATATTCTAAAAGTGAAGCTTCAACCAAAATTTTTATAGTATTGGATGGAAGAAGGAAGGGTTATAATCTCTTTAAAGCATTAGCCAAGCCTCCATCGATCAAAGAATATCCATAAGTCCTTAATTGGTTGATCTATTCATCAATCCATCACCCTATCCATAAAATTCCTCCTAAATAAATTTATTTTATTATTTCTATTCAAATGACTGCTAATCTTTAACATCCTATTTTTCCGTTCTGGTCAGTGGGAGGTTATAGTGGCACTCCTATATAATACCTCTCCAGTGGTCATTGTTGGCAACATACAATATCTTGGCCAACAACACATGTAAAGGAGTATACAGTGACATAACGTCACCTCTGAAACAAATAGGGAGACACAAATGAGAGTTAAACAGTGCTGCAAATCCAGCAGCGTGGCTGCAGCATTTCCAGGCAAAAGACTGGAAATGAGGATGCAACAAAATGACCTGCAGAAAAAAAAGGAAAAGGGGAACATTAAAGATAGTAGATTTAGCCTGGAATTCCAATTTAATAATTTTATGGATTTATTTTTTCATAGGAGAATTCCACCTTTCTTTTCTGTATGATCATTAGGAAAGGAAGTGCACAGTTATTATTATTAGAAAGGATTTACAGTGTATAGCACCAACAGTTTGCGCAGCGCTTTACAATATAAAGGGGGATAGTACAATTACAATCCAGTTCAATACAGAAGGAATAGGAAGGCCCTGCTCACGGAGCTTACAATGTAAAGGGTTGAGACACAGACAGCAATTGCAACCTGACAGAAGGTCTAACCCTTCTCATTCCATCCAAAGCTAGAGAATAAATGAATGTGAACCATAACAGAGCAGGGACCCCTATTATACAATTATTGTATTCCATGCAGCCAGGTGCTTTTAAATATATATATAAATATATACTGTATATTCTATTAATATTTCACAGGTACATCTGGAAAGGAGAAATAGAGGAATCTACTGAGGTACTTTTAGTAAGTGTTTCTCACTAAATAGATATTACAAGGAATGCTCTCTGACATAGTTTGTGTTTTGCTCTTTTTTTTCTCTAGTGGGTTGACTGTGTTCTCTTTCAATTGCCTAACAATCAATCTAAAATATGAATGTATCCTGCACGTGATTGGATGTGTGAAGAAAATCAAAGCTGATAATAAATCAGCACCTTAAACAGGAAAATTACTCTGGAAGCTGTGCCCAAGAAAGGCAGGCAGAAGGAAACAGCTAGCTGCCAGTATTACCTGTGTTTTTTATTATTATTATTATACAAGATTTATATAGGGCCAACAGTTTGCTCAGTGCTTTACAATATAACGGGAGACAATACAGCAACAATACAGTTCAATACAAGAGGGTTAGGAGGGCCCTGCTCCTTGGAGCTTACAATCTAAGAGGGAGGGGCAAGTGGTACAAAGGGTAATAACTGTGGGGGATGGACTGGTAGGAGGAATAGAAGATTCCATTATTAGCTGAGAACAGGATAGGCTTCCCTGAAGAGATAGGTTTTCAGAGATCGCCTAAAAGTGAGCAGAGTAGGCGATAGTCTGATAAATTAGGGTGGAGAGTTCCAGAGGATGGGGGAAGCTCTGGAGAAGTCATGGAGATAAGCATGGGAGGAGGAGACAAGGGAGCTAGAGAGCAGGAGGTCGTGTGAGGAGCGGACAGTACAGTTTGGGTGATATTTGGAGACAAGATCGATGATGTAATTTGGGGAAGAATTATAAATGGCTTTATACGTTATTGTTAATGCTTACAATTTTATCTGTTGGGGAATGGGAAGCCAGTGGAGGGATTGGCAGAGAGGGGGTGGCAGATATGGAATGGTTAGTAAGGTGGATGAGTCTGGCAGCAGCATTCATGATAGACTGAAGAGGGGATAGCCTGCTATGAGGTAGGCCAATGAGGAAGCAGTTACAATAGTCAAGTCGAGAGATAACCAGGGAGTGAATAAGTTGCTTAGTAGTTTCAGAGGTTAAGAACGGGCGTATCTTGGAGATGTTGCAGAGGTGAAGTCTACAAGCTTTTGACAGTGCTTGGATTTGGGGCTGAAAGGACAGATGGGAGTCTAGGATTACACCTAGTACCCTGGCATGAGGGGAGGGACTGATGGTTGTACTATTGATCTTGATGGAGAAGCCAGAGGAGGGGGCACTGGATGGGAATAGTATGAGCTCAGTTTTGGAAAGATTGAGTTTGAGGAAGTGGAGTGGCATCCATGCTGATATGTCACTTAGTAGGTTAGTAATGTGAGAGGAGACTGAAGGGGTGAGGTGAGGAGTAGAAAGATGGATTTGTTTATCATCAGCATAGAGATGGTACTTAAAGCCATGGGAGTTTATCAAGTGACCAAGGGAGGAGGTGTAGATGGAGAAGAGAAGGGGTCCAAGGACAGAACCTTGAGGAACCCCTACAGAAAGATGGAGTGGAGTGGAGGAGACAGAGTTATAAAGTAATGCTGAAGGAGTGCTGCAATAGGTAGGAGGAGAACCATTTCTGTCTTACCATGCCTTGTTTTGCATGCTGTCTCTGTATAGACAGATGTAAACGTATGGTTTTGCTTCATGCCAGAGCTTCCAGCAAGAGGAGATTAGTGAGCTGCACAGTGGTGACATGACCAAACCAAACTTCAAATCTCTTGAGTCTAGCAGTCTGAAGCAAACCTTGGATATCACACTGCAGATACAAAGCTATGAGGCTGTATTCACATAAGTGTCTAGGTACTGTCACATGCCAGAGTGTGCACTGCTATTATTCAGGAAACTTCTGGACAAAAAGTATATTTTACAGGGCACTACTTAGACACAATTCTCATTTTAGATGCTCCATATAACACATAATAACTTCACTTTTTGAGTTCAGAAGCACTTAAACCAAGTATGTCATTGAAAACTTTTCTGTAAAAAAAAAAAGTAATACTTGTTTTATATTTATTCTGCTTTAAATTAAATTATGCCAGAACACTGGCAAACCAAAAAAACTGTAGGCCTGCCCGCGATACCCCCACCCACAACCAGCATGCCTAAGTTTTGTGACAAGGCAGTACCAATAGCATGAACGTAAACATAAAGGAATGAGACCTGCGTCTCTCAATTGAATCCAATAAAGGCATGTTGCAGTGAGAACAAAAATCCCATTTTCTTCCTATCAGTTGAACCAATTAATCACTTGACTACCTGGCACTTTTACCGCCTTCCTGCCCAGGCCAGTTTTCAGCTTTCAGCGCTGTTGCACTTTGAATGACAATTGCACAGTCATGCAACACTGTACCCATATGAAATTGTTATAATTTTTTTCACACAAATAGAGCTTTCTTCTGGTGGAATTTGATCACCACTGGGGGTTTTTTATGTTTTTCACTATAAACAAAAATAGAGCCAAAAATTTGAAAAAAAGGTTTTTCTTTGTTTCTGTTATAAAATTGTGAAAACAGGTAATTTTTTTCCTTCGCTGATGTGCGTTGATGAGGCTGCACTGATGGGCACTGATGAGGCTGCACTGATGGGCACTGATGAGGCAGCACTGATAGGCAACATTGATGGGCTGCAATGATGAGGTGTTACTGGTAGGCATTGATGAGGAGGCACTGTTGATGCTGCACTGATATGCAGCAATGATGGGCACTGATGAGCGGCAATGACTGGCGACACCGACTGACAGCACTGACGGGTGGCACTGATGGGTGGCACTGATAATCAGGGCACTGATTATTAGTGCAGATCTGCTCTGTGACATTTGGCAGTTTTTGGCAGTACTTTCCTCACGATGTGACAGCGTCAGGAAATTGCTGCCGATAACCGAAGGGTTTCATTTTTCTTTCAGATTTTTATTGCTGTCCATGTCCCTATTGGGGAAACTTTACCGATGTCTGAGGACATAAAAAAATGAGAGGAAATTCAATCTTTGGCAGGTCACATGAACAGGTGTCCTTATTGGAGGATTTCCCATCATCTCCTGTTCCAATGACAACTATAAAAAGTTAGATGTTTCCCAGATTTTTCTAATAACAAAGTGCACCATAACAAAAAATGAATCAAATTTTGCCGAGCGGATACACAGACAACAATAAAAACACAAATGAGGTTCTAACCATTCATCCGCACTCTATCCAAAACTACTGGAGATCCACTTTATTGTGCATTAGCCAAATGGACAGCAGTGGCTGGTTGCAGTTACCTGATCTCTTCCTTGTGTGCCACAATACTGTATATTCTTCAGCAGGGAGCAATCTGTGTAGAGTGCACTGACCACCACTTTCTGATTGGCCATCGAACTGTCATCACCTGACTTTAAAGGCTTAGACTTCTTTGTTCCTATTTTGATAAGCCCTACAGACATTTTAAAAATTGTTTTATAATAAAAAAAAAGTTAAATTTCTGTTTTACCTCTTTCGCTGTTTTTTTTTGCAGATAGCGAAAACCAGGACAGCAGAGATAAACGAATTATCAGGATATGTCAGGTATGAATGCAGCGAATAATTATCTGCTACTGGCCTGAAAAGGCCTTACAGACTATGCACATAGGCATTTCCTTTGCAGTTTAGGCAGGGCATATAACACAGAAATCACAGTTGAGATTGAATAATAGCAGCATTACTGCAGAGCAGAACAAGGATGGGCAGGACACCAGCAGCACAAGGTGAGCCTGTTACCAGTGTTCTCCCCCCCCCCCCCCTTGGCCGATGCTGCTAATCCTGCTCTCACAAAGGATGTCAACAAATCCACCACCCTCTCCTGCAGTTTTAATAAGGCCGCTGACCAGCCTGGACAAGCAGTAGAGTTGGCCATCCTCCAGCAGCAGGTTGCCTGCAGCCATATCAATCCTTGACAGTGCTGCTGATGGAGAAGTTCTGTGTACTCAAGAACATTTTCTTGCTGGAGTCTATCTGACAGCGGTGTGCTGACAACTTTGCAATCATGTCAGTATACTTCAGTTCAGGCAGCTTGCAGCACAATGTAGCTAGCTTCAGAGACAAAACAGATGCAAATAATGCACACTAAACCCCTATCCTGCACTCCAGCCACAGTGCAGGGAGTGATATCACAGTAGATGGAACAATGGTGGTCTCTTCTGCAGGTCCAGGATGACCAGCAGCACAGATTACTGCAAGAGAGGGTGATGGCTTTGCTGCCATCCTCTGTAAGAAGTAGAATTAGCAGTGCTGAATCTAAAGGAGGAGCTCTTAGTTTCAGGAGTCTGGTAAGCAGAATATGCCTCTGGTGGAGGCTAATGACAACATTGGCAAGGTCTTCTGTTCACATCCTGTCCAAGTCACAGAAACTTCGTACCACCTCACCATCTCTCCTCCAGTTACAACACATTCCACCTCCCTCCCTCCCGGTCACTCTACTGCTCTACCAACTACCTCCCAGATCACAGTACCTCTGAACTCAAACCCCTCCTCCAACTCATAACACCTTCATTCTACTCACCTTTTACCCCCTCCATAACTTCCCTCCTACCCATCTTCCCCCAAACTTTTTCATTTCACTGACTGCGCAATGCACCCCTCACCCCCAGGTCACAACATCCACCTCCCACCTCCAGCACCCTCCCCCACGCCCCACATCCCCAATTATCTAATAAGACCCCATAAATGTTTATATAAAAGTCAGCATAGATGAAGTGTGTAAAATTGGTCTGACTGATAGTTAAGAGTTCTCATTATCATTTTGTATTCATCTGAGTTGAGAAATAATGTCCATTTTGACCAAGTGGATAGAAACTTGGTATGGGGGCCTAAGCATTTAGAAACATGTTTCCTGTTGAAGGGGAGGATCAGATTTTTAAAACTGGCTGCTCCTCCCATTCAGTAGAGATCATGTGACCAAATGTTTAGGCTTTTGGTCATGTGGCCAGTACTGAAAAGAGTTATTTGAACACAGGTCAACTTTAAAGCCCATTTATTTGGAAAGGAAAAATGCTCACTTGCAGTAGGGCTGCCCCCATACTGCAAGGGTCAAATGTTAATTCAGGTCTAGGAAACCAGGAAAAAAGCAGATTTACTCACCTTTTCCTCTTCTCTGGCAGCTGGCGCTCTCCTCTATTCCGCTACACCCTGGCAGTGGACTGTCCCTCGGTGTCTTCACATCCAGTGCAGAACTATGGGTTCTGCATTGGACTTGATAGCATCAGAGGGCCTGCAACAGCCAGAGCATAAGAGAGAATAGACTGTGGGACTGGTGTAGAAAGCCTGCAGGGAGACTGTAGGATTGGAGGATCAGGTAAGTAAAACTGTTTATCTTTATTGTACAGTATAGGACACAGAAACCAGTTCATAGACCATAAATTATGTCACTACTTTCAAGAAATTGGATATTAGGAAAAACTTAGCTGGGATTGCCCCCTAGAGGCGCCAAATAAACCCCACTCAATCTGTGGGGATCCAGTTTGTTTGCTAGTGTCCTCAGGTGGAGGAAGTCTTTCCCCTTTAAGTTTTTCTTATAGGAGGTTTAGCTACTTCCTTTAACAATTCTATCAGGATCTGACTGCTTACTGCCTTCAGGCCTCACTAGTAGTTTCCAGATCAGTAACATTGAGCACATCTTGGGAACTGTCCCTGGACCTGATTGTCACAGGGCCAGCCTGTAATGTTTACTTTGCACACTGGATCCTGCACTCGGCACTCACCTTGGAATGTGTAGTTAGCCACAGAAAGCTATACAGGTCTAGGGGTCTATGACCATGGTCCTAGGGCTATGGCACCCAGACCCTGAAGACCCCATTGTATGCCCACTGTAACTTGACCCTGGATAGAACCAGTGATGTTGACAAGGTAAGACAGGATTTCCCTGTACCCTTTAACACATCGGTTACTGGTTTTTACACATCTTGATGGCTCTGAAGTATACACTACATCCCTATTCTACAAAATATAGCACAGTGCTATGTACACAAGTGGTTCATGGGCACAGGAGTAAGGGGACTTGCACTCTAAGTGTTGTTCCCTAACTTTATTATTTCACTGTTTGGCCTAAAGGGTAATGTTATTATAACATTACTTTTGCAAATGTGGTGTTTTTTTTCGACCTTCTAACCAGTAGTTCCTTTTTCAGCTACTGACAGAGGGCTTTCAAGACTAATAGCTGCACACTTCTGGCTACCATTTTCTGTCGATAACACAATGTGATTTTTGCCACACCACCTGTAGCCCAATTCCAAAAGGAGGCGCTTCATGATTTCTATTCTCCAGTGTTTAAGCAAGTTACTTCCTTACCTTTTCACCATATGCTGGTTAATGAGGATTAATTGATAGAAGCAGTATATACTAGTCTCTGGATAAAAACATCTAGTGCTACATTGCCCCAGATACTCAAAAATACTCTAAGAAGATGGCCTTCTGTAGAATGCCTTTTTCCACTCTGGATCAGGAAAACTGTTCCTTTTACAATGATTGGCCAAACTCAGAGAGGTTATTTCCCTCCCTCTGATAATTTTGAAACCTTGTAATCTATGGACACAGATTTTAGCAAAAAATTATCCATTCCCAAGGTGAACCCAGCCATTTTTGCACTTAATGCTGACACTACTGTCACTATTTAGGTTACTCCCTCCTTAAAAGACTTGGTGGATAAGCGCTTGGAGATTCCTCTAAAAACTTATTTTACATTAGTTGGACTGGTCCTACAGCTGACCACTGTCACCTTGATGGTTATCCAGACTGTGGGGTTGATTTAATAAAACTGGAAAGTGCAAAATTTGGTGCAGCCAGTCAGCTGATTGGTTTCTATGCAGAGATGCCCCAGATTTTGCATTCTCCAGTTTTAGTAAATTATCCCCAATGACTAAACGAATTAAAGAAAGTCATGATGAACTTTCTTATGATTAAAGAAAAATAATATAGCATATACAATTGCGATACAAGAAATATTGTAATTGAATGTCATTAAAAAATTCCTTCTCAATCTGCAGTGCTGCAATTTTCTGTAAAATGCAATGCAATATGGCTACCTGGAGGCGTTCTGTACACCATCTGTGTACAGAACACCCCCCAGATATGTAATTTCCTGCTTGTGTGATTGGCTTACTCATTTTTCCTTTAGTCTGCACTATGATACAAATCATAATTTGAGCATCCTTTGCAACAAAAATGTAATCTTTGGTGAGATACTCCCAAAGGGAAATCACATCTAAAGGGATGCAGACCCTGCAAGTTTCCTCATCAGAGCCCTGCAGGTGCAGCAGCTGATTGATAATTATAAAACCACTCCCATACAGATTCACTTGGCACATGCACATAGAAAAACAGTCAGCTATTCCTTCAGAATAACAAAAGGTAAAAATCTGCAGGAAAGTTGGTTAAAATCCCAGCAGTGTACATAGAGACAGAGGGGAATGTTTTTTTCTCAACAAAAGTAGAGTTATTCTTTAAAATACAAATTCTAGAAAATGAATACCCTGCTCTGTCCAATGATATGATTTCCCTGGCTTAACTCTCAGGTCTTCTTCTGAGCTCCAGCATGCCTTTTTAACCATCCCTTCCACGGCTGCAGTTTACCACTTGCTATCTCTGGAATTAGGTGTTTAGGCTGTCCTCTCCTGCCTAGGGCTCAACTGCGATACAGGTTATACTATTTCAAAAATTATACCACGGACGGTTTAAATTCCCCTGTTCCCAGGATTTCTTTGGTGGTTGTCTTTCCGCTATACCTATGGTCCACAACAGCTTGCTCTTGTCTACCATACTCAGCTATCCTAGAAGTAGAAGTGTCCCCAGAGGTGGAATTCGTCCGACTTGTGTATACAGCACGGTTTAATTTCCTACTTATATGAATGCAATTTAAAAAAATTCCTGTCAGATTTACACTATGGGAGCAGTGGTCTCCTCTTTTTTCTCTGAATGTGGTTGCTTGGGACACTTGGAACAAGAACAGATTGCTAGCAGTGAGAAATGTGAGGAATTTGGGACGCCACGTTTTGCCACGTTTGTATGCAGACGAGTGCTGTAAAGTGAACCTGTGTCCAGCCTGCAACCAGTGAGTGGGAAGTGTCACTGCGGTGGATCTACATAATAACATACGCCATACATGACCTTTCTATAATTTGAAGGTCATGCAGTTCTGGCAAGCATCACAAGAAATATTTGTGCTGGAGGTTGACACACATTGGCATGAGATACACTTTATTGTCTTCAAGTGGACTTTGTAATTTTTTTGTGGACATTTTATACATTGGGATCTTTGTGATTTGTTATGTGGACTATCTTCACACTGTTATCTAGCATGGTGGTGTTTTCTATATTCATTAAGTGCAGCACATTGTTGTTTACTGATTTGTATGGTAAATATCACCTAGGATGATTCCAGCTAAAGTTCATACTGTATATTTGTTTTGGCATTTGCATGGTTTCTCACATTATATTATGATAGGAACCAATTAGCTTCCATTTTTTTTTGTCAAAGCTTAAATGAACAAGCTGAAATTAGAAGCTGATTGTTTACCATGCACAGCTGCACCAGATTTTGCACTCTCCAGTTTTAGTAAATCAACCCCATAGTGGTTCTTAAAAGGAAAGCTGGCACTTCGGTACGATCTGCAAAAGATAATTTTTTTGTATCTTACTGAAGTGCCAGCTTTCCTTTTGAAAATCACTATGGGCGTGTGACAGCCTGGACAGGCAATTTCCTAATATCCTCATGATCAGGGTATTCCCTATGTATGCACATTCAACCCTTACATTGTATGCCTCCTTTTACATCCCATTTTGGGCACAAGATGTTTTTTCCTGCTTAGCAATCTATGGAGAGCAGCTGTCTCATTGGCTAATAGAAAACCTCATCATGAGTTCCTTGCCCCTCCCTCATTCTATATACTGTATACTTTGACTTGTCCATACTTCTGGCATTTCATTTAGAACCCTGTAGATAATGGTCGACTTTATATATGCTTTTCTCTTGACACCTTGCAACCACTACTAAACAGGATTCTTCCTTATCACCCATTGGGAGTCCTATATGACCTAAGGGCAATTCCAAACTATCCTTATAAACATAGGGATTACATTCTGAGGGGTTCCAATCCTCCCTTTCTGTTTACATCAACAGCGGTATTCTTCCTTGGACTTCTCTTCCACTTGATGGTAGGATAGTCTGGAGCCTGGTGTTCTCTGAGGAATTTAGGCATACCTGTAGAACACAGCCCTCTTCCTTCTCTGTGATCTCGCTATTGCTTGCTAACAAAATTGGCTGAAGCCTATAACCTATAGTTTGTAAATTGATTCTTGTATCCTGCACTTTACTCTAATATAAAGAATTTACAGGTAATTCCTCTTTATGCCACCTTTTAGACCAAAATGTGGACTGAAGCCTTGCAGTGCGGCAGGAGCAAGGGAGCAGTTTTCTTTGCCCTGGAATTCAAGTTTAAAATGTGTGGAGCCAGTTACCATTTTGGACACGTTTTGGACACATTTTAAGGTCCATTCACAAAATGCTGCAGGTCTTTTAAACTTTTGTGGTGGTGTATTGACAGCCTACTGTATATAAAAGAGTTCTTAAAGAACCACATAGACTTCCGCTGGCTGCAGGCTTGAAAGTCTACTTGATTGGCCATACTAACTAAAACAAAAAATAGTGTTCCTCAGAAAATTAGTAGCTCCAGGGATCCCGCAGGATAATGCAAAGGGTGCCACTTTCGTAACATAGGATGGGAGTACTCATCACATTTTAGTGTAGGCAGCAGTAAACCAGTCTATTTATTTTATATAGGTTTTTTTGTGCTGTTAGATATTTTTATGCTGATAATAACTGTGACGGGCGCGGCATCAGGCCCCAGCCCTTCTCACCAACTTGTGACCGAAGCAGCAGCCAATCTAAGACCACGCTGCCACTTGCATAACAATGCCACTCTCAGCTGCGCCCTGCACAACGATTTTCCAGCTTGCTGGACCACAATCTATGTGCCAGCAGCCTGAGAGCGATTGTTACTGGGTCAGGTTAATTACGCAATTAATCCTTCACACTGCCACCACCACCTTTTTGCAGAGAAGGAGGAAACTCACAAATCTTAGCAGTAACACTATGATGTTTGAATAAGCATCTGTATACACACTGCCACCGCAGATAGATGTATGCAGAGGGTTAAAACACACGGTAGCACTCTTCCGAGACAGGGATTCTTAGTTTGCATTAAAGAGCTTTAGAAACAGTTCAGCACTTTTCAGAAAATAGGATTTATTACTAAAAAGGTCAAAATGGTGCAATAAAAATATTTACAGAAAAAGATGTAACAAATATATATATATATATATATATATAGAGAGAGAGAGAGAGAGAGCAATAACAAACAGAGATAAAGAAGTTTCAGAAGGTAGGATACCTGCAGAAGTCCTTGGTTTAAGCAGAGCTCAAGTGTCCTGAACAAAAGGGTACCTTTTCTCCCAAAGTTGATTCCTGATGTTAAAAGGGAGAATCTTTTCATTCACTTCTCCAGGCATGACAGCCTTTTATAGTGTCCCAGCAGGGGGTGTCTACTAAAGCCAAGGGCTAATCGCCTCATTTGGGGAGGGGTGTTAGGCGAAGACCCAGGCTGTGACCCAAATCCCTCCCAAGTTTATACCATGGTCAATAGCCTTCCATAGGTACATGTAGCATCCTATCCACTGGTAGAATAATATGCAGGATCCTATTCTGAACGTCCTGACACCAAATATGACATATCTGGCTGTGACAGATAAAAAGATATTGCTTTCTACTCTCTGGTAGATGTTACCTAGGGGTGTAAGGTATCAGGTGACTTGTATTAAAATGCATATCTGAATATATACTTTGTTTTAATGTACCTTGTTCATGTCGGGATTTTATGAAATTGTATGAAAAAGTGATTCAAGTGGGATGTACGTTTTACTGCCACTCTGGAATGCTTTTCATGTCCAGTGACTGACTGATTTATAGCTTTACGAGCAGGCCAAGGCAAGAGTCTGACAGACATCATGGGACCAGCTAACTGGGTTTACAACCATGAAGCGTATCAAGCTGTGCCTGATGCACGTGTGACCCCAGCATACACACACACACCACATGCCATTCAAAAAGGAGAGGGGAAGACTGAACGGAGTGAGAATGACCTTTGCAGAGTATGATACAAGATGGTGGATCTTAACAAAATGGTTGTCTGCGTCCAATCGCCACAATAACCATTGTAATCTTGTGCACAATGGACAGCGCTGTGTTCTGTTTCTTTTTTTTAATTGTCTGTGTGCCACACTTTTCAATAAAAATGTATTCTTTAAAAAAAATGCATTGAGTACTATACTGCATTACAGATGACCAGAGTGAAAGGATCCTTAGCTTCATATTATATCAGTTAGGATCACATCAGTCATTCCAAAGATAGGGATCTGGGCAGGTTTCTGATTGCAATTTACCATTCATAAAATGTTAAATTAAACAAATTAAGACATGTTGTGTTTTGGTTTCTAGATATATTCATCCCTTTGAAACACCAGATTTTCTGACAGTGCCAATTGGAGATGGAAACACAGATTATTTCAGATGGATTGAAGATGTTATGTCAGAGAAATGATCGTGGATTGTGTGTCTGGACATTCACAATGGCTTTCTCAAGAAGTATTATAACTTTTCAGTTTGTAATGTCTATGAGTAAAAATCCTGTGCAATAATAATAATAATGATGATTAAATGTCAGTATTGTTAGCTATAGTTAAAAGTCAGATCTGGATGTCTTTAGATAGGCAACTCTATGAATAGTTAAGACCAAATACTCCAGATACTCAGAAAAAAGGTCAACATATACGTCTAAGACCAGGTGAAAAGGATCAACATTGGCAAGAGGAGAGAGTGATTCAATAAAACAAGATGCAGTTTAGGCACATAGAGCCAATTCAAGCTCTAAACAAGCACAACAAAATGGAAAGGATGTAAAAAGAAAAGAACAACAACTTGGATACAAAAACTTACAATATAATAAGTCTGAAATGACAAAAAGCAGAGAAAAAAGTAAAGAGCATAGCCAGGATGATAGCAGCAGGGAGTCTCAAACATGGTTGGCAAGGGTAATTACACAATTCGCATTTGTGCCTTATACCACATGTACATAAACTATAAAAGAAACTATAAGGACCCATTTACATTTTTGTGGTGCGTTAATGTGCTTCGTGTTAAGGCAGCCCATTGAAAACGATGGGCGGCCAAAGCACCAAAACATCCCAGAAATCAAATATTCCACAAATTTTGATCCAATGAAGTACAATACGCTATGGTGCAGGTATGTGATATGCGATGTTAATTTTTTCATAAGTCTATGATACTTATAAATACGAGACCTCAAGTTTTGGTATGCAGTAGTTCTGGGACACTCAGGGGTAGAGAGCCATACGTTAGCTGAAAGACGCTTGGCTCATGTGAGACACACTTGTAAAATATACACACTTCAACATCTTACAGGATTTTGGGGTGACTTTTCAGATCAGCAAGGAGAACATTCCTTATACCCAATAAGAATCAAGAGGATTCTCGTGGGGCTTCGTTTCCAGCCTCTTTACATACTCCTCTTGCTAATGAAGGAAGCAGATATCATACCTGAACATTTTTTAACTCACCGTAAAACCCTGATCTTGGAGTCTATTGAGGGACCCAGGAAGTCATATACTGTCAGTAGGCCGGTGCTTCCACTAGGCAAACTTAGCAGCCGCCTAGGGTGCACTGCCACAAAGGGGTGCCTGGGCGCAGCCAGGCCAGCACTCTCTCTGTGTGGGACACTGCCACGTCATGAATGATCCTTCAGCTGAGAGGAGGGGTGGCAGAGGGTTGAAAGAAAGGACAGAGGAAGATACCGGTTGTCTGGGGCCAGTGTAGCAGCTGAGCTGCCACTCTTTCCAGTATTCCTCTCAGACTCAGTCCCTTACTGCAAACCGGCTGGCAGCTGCTGATCACTGTGAAGTCCCAGCCCTTTTCTTCCCATTGATCAGTGGAGGCAGAGCTGCGCCTGTGGAGGAAGGTGATGGCTGACTCTGATATCTCGTGTTTGTGTGAGTGTGACCTGGCCATCACATGTGTAATGTGACAGTGAGTGATGACATCGTCACGATCTCACAGCCTGCTCTTCTAGTGTTGGATCTGTCACTGTGTAGGATTGCTCAGTTCAGCTGCCTTCTGTCACAGTGTTTTAGCTCCCCCCATCGCCTGGGGAATTCCATTCTGGGATCTTTCAGAGTGTGGATCTATCATCCTCCACTCACTGCAACTGTCACCCTCCCACTGTCAGCCACAGATACAGTCTGTCCATGACACTGATTTCATCTTTAATATTGGTGCTGGTGGCATCTTATGGCACTTATTTTTGCAAATTAAAATAAATTTGGCAGTTTCATGGTTTGTTGATTTAATATTTTCTACTGCTTTCAAAAAAAATATTGTTTTTTTTGTTTTTGTTTTTTGTGGGGAGGACGCATGTAGCTAGTCTTGCCTAGGACGCAAAATAGTCTAGCAGCGGCCCTGACTGTCAGGTTATACTGCCACCTACATAAGAATTAAACACTGGCAAACAGCAACAAGTGTGGAAAAAAGGCCCAATAGACTAGGGGTTCCCAGAAGTCCAAGAGCTGCCTGAGGAACCAACTCTTGAATCAGACCCTGGATGAGGAAAAACCCTTTACTGATAAGGGGACCCACTAACAAGACCAGAGGAAGGACACAGAAAATCAATGCAACTCCCAAGACCAAGAGGAAAACGTTCACAAACCAGAGAGGAATAATTCAACAAAGAAAGGAGTACTGAGTCATAGACCAAATGAGAAGCTGGATAACCTGAATCCATCAAGGAGAAAAAAATATAACAAACTCCCAATTTGGAAAGAAAAAACTAAACATTGTTGTCCTTTGTACAAGATAAAGGACCTGGGAAAATTCTTGTAAAGGGCAAGACAAGTCTGTCTTAGTAGGTAGCCCATACATGAGTCATTTGTGGATAGGGGAATCCTCCCGGCTGAGCTATAGTATTCTGACATTGGGGAGACTTCTCTGCTGTCAAAATACACTTATCAGCATTGCAAGCTATAGCCTGCAGTGCTGATCAAGCAGGGAAAATCTGACAGGTAAATTGTACAAAGGTCGACTTTTGTACAACCTCCCTGCCCATACATAAATCAAATCAATTTGGCCAGTCCCTGCTGAACTGGCCGAATTTCAATCCACATGTTGCTGGCTTTAGATTTTACCTTTCTGACCCAAACATAGTTAAGAAATTAGAATTCGATAATTTGATAGGTTGTTGAACAGACAACCGCATGACCAAGGTGAAACTAAACAGGGAAAACCCTCAGCTTGACTAGAAGCCATAAACTGTGAGGGGTGTGAAAAAGTGCAAAAAAGTCCAGCACAGAACCCAAGATTCAATCCCACAAAGTCAACATGAGTAAAGAGGCAAGGAGTGTATGAGCATCCCAGCAAGAGTAGGCAGGAGATGAAAGTTAGAGACCAACTACAGTTGCAAGAAAAAGTACGTGAACCCCTTGGGATTACGTGGAGTTTTGCATGAATTGGGCATAAAATGTGCTCTGAACGTCATCTAAGTCACAACAATAGAAGAACACAGTCTGCTGAACATAATACTACACAAAAATTATATGTTACCATGGTTTAATTGCACATAACATGTAAACATTCACAGTACAGGGAGGAAAAAGTATGTGAGGCCCTAGCTTAATGACTTCTCCCAGAGCTAATTGGAGCTAGGAGTGAGCCAACCTTGACCCCAATCAGTGTGATGATATTGGATGTGTTGCTGACAGCTGTCCTGCCCTTAAAAAACACACACCTGTTTTGGGTTTACTGGTTTCAAGAAGCACTGTCTGATGTGAACCTTGCCTCGCAGAAAAGAGCTCTCAGAAGACCTACGATCAAGAATTGTTGACTTGCATGAAGCTGGAAAGGGTTACAAAAGTATCTCCAAAAGCCTTGATGTTCATGTGTCCACGGTAAGACAGACTGTCTACAAATGGAGAAAGTTTAGCACTGTTGCTACTCTCCCTAGGCATGGTCGTCCTGTAAAAATGACTGCAAGAGCACAGCGCAGAATGCTGCATGAGGTAAAGAAGAATCCCAGAGTCAGCTAAAGACCTACAGAAATCTCTGGCACATGCTAACATTTTTGTTGACACATCTACAATAAGGAAAACATTAAACAAGAATGGAGTACATGGGAGGACACCACGGAGGAAGCCATTGCTGTCCAAAAAGAATATTGCAGCACGTTTGAAGTTTGCAAAAGAGCACCTGGATGTTCCACAGCACTACTGGCAAAATATACTGTAGACAGATGAAACCAAGATTGAGTTGTTTGGGAAAAACACACAACACTATGTGTGCAGAAAAAAAAAAAAAACGCACAGCACACCAACATCAAAACCTCATCCCCACTGTAAAACATGGCGGAGGGAGCATCATGGTTTGGGGCTGCTTTGCTGCCTCAGGGCCTGGACGGATTGTTGTCATTGATGGGAAAATGAATTCCAGAGTTTATCAAGACATTTTGCAGGAAAACGTACGACCATCTGTCCGCCAACTGAAGCTCCGCAGAGGATGGGTGATGCAACAGGACAATGACCCAAAGCATACAAGTAATTCAACAAAACAATGGCTGCAACAGCACAGAATACGCCTTCTGGAGTGGCCCAGTCAGAGTCCTGACCTCAACCCGATTGAAATGCTGTGGCATGACCTTAAGAGAGCGATTCACACCAGACATCCCAAGAATATTGCTACACTGAAACAGTTTTGTGAAGAGGAGTGGTCCAAAATTACTCCAGATCGTTGTGCAGGTCTGATCTGCAACTACAGGAAACGTTTGGTTGAGGTTATTGCTGCCAAAGGAGGGTCAACCAGTTATTAAGTCCAAAGGTTCACATACTTTTTCCTCCCTGCACTGTGAATGTTTACATGTTATGTGCAATTAAGCCATGGCAACATCTAATGTTTGTGTAGTATTATGTTCAGCAGACTGTGTTCTTCTATTGTTGTGACTTAGATGATGTTCAGAGCACATTTTATGCCCAATTCATGCAAAACTCCACGTAATCCCAAGGGGTTCACATACTTTTTCTTGCAACTGTATAAACTGGTAAAGCAAGTTACAACACTGATGGAGCTGAGGAAGAAGCTAGACATACTTGCCATTACACAAGAGGTATTTCTGAGGCTTTCTTTAAGAGGTATCCTGCTAAAATTAATAATCCTGCTCATTTTTGGCTTCAAGAGTCACAAGGCTAAGATTAGCAGCATCTGTGGAAAAAGAACAGGAGTCTTATCAGGACGGTGAAGAATATTCACCTGAGTGAATCCAAAAACAGAACAGAAACAGAAAGGCCTTCTTCATAAATCTGCAAATCATCAAAGAAAGAGGTGGTTGTCAAAGATGGATAGGGAGACAACTGCAGCAGGAGATCAGTTATTTTTGCTTAGCCCTCCCCTGATGTCTTTCACCTGCAACACAGGTCCTGAAATGCACCTTGCTGTGTGAATCTCTACTTAATTTCCAGAAACTAGCATTTGCAAGAACTGGCTTGC